TTTGGTTAATTGGATGAATTATATTAATAAAAAAATACAATTAAAAATTTAGTTAACTAAAATATTTTATTTTAATTAATGATTAAAAATCAAAATATTTTTTTACTTAAAAAGATTAAAAGAATTTGGTTAATTACGTGAATCATATTAATAAAAAAATCAAAATTTTCATAATTAAAACTGAATTTTTGAATTATATTCAAGTATTAAAATAAAAATCATTAACCAAAATAATACAAAAAAGGAGAGGGAGAGTTTTGTTTATTGTTATTTTTTAATTTTAATATTTATATAAATAAAATTATTAGATACTTAACATTTTAATTATTTGTCAAAAAAGAATATTTTGAACCTTTTAAAAAATTTTAATACACTTATGTTTCACTTACACAAAACTTCAAATTTAGCATTTACTTAATTTAAAAGAAAATTTTAATGGACTCACTTTAAAAGAATCTTCCCTATTCAAATCTCCAAATATCAATGGGTACGCCACTAATCCCCTCCTAAAGTGTTTGAACAAATGAAACATCAAAATATAGTAGTTAAACACAGCAACACCAAGAAAAGCAAGAATTTTAACACTGAAATGTAATAAAAAAAAAAAAGAAAAAAAAAAGTTCCTTGTGGTGAAATTGTTGAAGAAGCTTTGTTACGCCAACCAGTAAGAGTACCGCTTGAGATCAGATGCCACGTGGCTAGTGAAGAATGAAATCAAGCCCATGCTAGTGGAGATTGGCTTCCTTGGATGCGCCGCTGCAAACCTCCAACACGCTGGCTTGTTGTTGCCGCCGTTCTGGTGCTGTAACAGCATCGCACTCGCCTTTGCCACACTCACCATGGACCTTGAGGTAAAAGCAAATTATAATCTACTCCCAAAATAATAGATCAGTGAGAAATTCTTAATAATCCTTGTACTAAAAGCACATTATAATGATAAAGAAAACACAAAATTAAATCTTCAATTTTAGACGAGGTACAACAAGACATTTCGATTTCGACTAAAAAACTGGTTAAAGTTCCCAGACGAAACAGCTTGAAGGAAACATAACTACGAGTTACTTGGCTTACCGTAATCTCTGGTGCTCTTTCCTCAAATTGTCAAGTTCAGCCTGTATTTCTGGTATTTTATTAAGATCGGCACAAGTTTTCTGCAATTCCTGAGATGCCTATAGAATTTGGGAATTCAATTCTTGTATGCCTTTGACCAAGCGCTGTGTCTCAAGAAGTGCCTGTTCCAGGTCCTCTTTCACATTCTCACCCGCTCTATTATCCACTTCCATTTTTGCAATCTTATTTAGGAGAACCCTGACCTGGATATCACTCTCAGTCTGGAAGCTTTTAATGTGTGCCTTTACATTCTAAG